AGCAGATAGAGTGCTGTAAAAATTATTTTCTCCCTTGGAGATTTATTTCCATTTATATTTTGAGAATTTGTTTTTTTCTTTGCAAATAACACACAAAATGTGAATTTTCCTCAAATCATGTTTTTTTTTTATTTGTTAAACAGGGTGTTTTTAAATGATCGTTTCATTTATTAAGAAAAAAAAATTAAACTCAAGATCAGTTGAAAAGCAAAGTCAGTGTGGAAAGGGTTACAAATGCATTTTAAAGCTTGGGGAATCCAGTAATCTTTACTGAGTCATTATCCACAAATAAAGAAAACCTTCAAGAGTGGAGAACCTTCCCAGGAGTGGCCAGCCTAACAAAATTACTCTAACAGCATATTGACAACTCATTCAGGAAGTCACAAAAGAACCGAGGACTGCGAGCCTCACTTGCCTGAGTTTAGCTCAGTATTCAGATTTAACAAAAAGGAGACTGTGTTATTTTTCGCCAGGAGTGTTTTTTGCGTGGAACTCTCCCATGTACGCCATTTTTACCCAAAGACTCATTTCAAATTTGCCAAAAAACATACACATCTTCAAGATCTCCAAAGGGGTAAATATTCTGTGCAGTGACAAGTCAAAAGTTTTTGGTTTTTGGAAAAGTTCTGTCCAATTTCTAAAAAGAACATAATTCTAACAATCAAATGTGGTGGTGGTAGTGTGATGCTCTAGGGCTGTTTTGTTGCTTTAGGACCTAGGCACCTTGTTATAGTTGATGGAGTCATAAATTCTGCTCTCTACCAGAAATTCCAGAAAAAAAATGTCTGGGCCCTAGTTTTTGCCCTGAAGCTCAAGTCCACTTGGATTATGCAATTGGACAATGATCTGAAACACACCAGCAAGACCACTTCTGACTGGCTAAAAAGAGATGGCTTTAAATGGTCTAGACTTAAATCCACTTTAGATGATCTGGCATGACCTTACACAGGCCATGCATGCTCAAAACCCTCCAATGTGCCTCAACTGAAAACAATTCTCCAAAGACGAGTTGGCCAAATTGATATGAAAGACTCATTGATGTAGCACAACTAGTTATTAGGTTTGGGGGACAATTACTTCTTTGAATAGGCTCAGGTAGGTTTGCGTGAAATCGTCATTTTAAAACCGAATTTCTATGTATTCAACTCATCTATGTCGAATTATGAAAATATGTTCGGTAATCTGAAACATGTAAGGGTGACAATTTAAAAAAAACAAAAAACAAAGAAAAGAAATCAGAGTAGGGGGTAAATACCTTTTGACAACACAGTATTTATTATTCAGAAAGAAAAGAGAAATGCTTGTGCAAAAATGCTGGGATTACCCGCAGCTGCACATTCTACCTTAAAGACAGTCATACCTGTATAATATACACATACTGGCTTTAAACTGATTTGTTTCTCTAATATGTGCAACCCAGGGATTTTTTTCGTGGTGATCTGTGTATTTGTGGAAAAAAGTCATATTGTTTCTAAAGCTGAGCTGAATGATGCTAATTATTCTGCTGCTCACATCTTCTGAAGTTCCCGCTGGCAGTGGCTTTCTTTATGTCAGAATGATACTGCTTTGTGTTGCCCTTGACTGTCTTAATATTAAAGCTTAGTCGAAGCAAAATAACCTTTGAGGAATTCTTCTACCTACAGCTCGGAAGCAGCAATCGTACATTTAAAATGTATTGCCAGAATCACATTAATGCTGTACTTTCCCTGGAATAAAAGCTTTTAACTCTTGACAACCTGCTGCTGTCACTTGACTCGCATCACTATATTTGATTCCTGATGTGAGATAGAAACACTTTCTGGTTCAGCTTGGAATGTATCATTGTTTGAATTTCTTGTTTTAGGACAACTTTGATAACCTGAAGAAATTTACTGTCAGGAAAATGCAACAAATGAGATCATGGCTGCCTTCCAAGCAATAATGCATTTCCCCAAATATGCAGTTTCTCAGTGCTATAATTTATTTGCAAATATGTGTTATTAGAATATAATTGTAGCAGTGTTTTAATCTTATTAAATGACTGTTTAATAAATACACAGACAGTGTTGCCATTCATGTCAAATGAAACAATCAAATCAGAGGTCAGCTCCACAGCTGCCCTCATCCTCTGCCTCCAGTCCAAAACTTGCTGCCCCTGGTCCACCTCTCTAAGTCCAAATCTCAACACCTGCTGTCCTTCCAAGCTTCTGCATCTTTGCCATTTGGTTGATGAGGCTCATCACAGGCAAGGCAGAGGGGGCTCACAGCATCAGCCTTGCAGGGTGCTCTAGGCATGTAGCTGTCAAATGTGGACATGGACAATGCCATCGCATAGCAGCTCCACAGGCCTTATTCCCACCCACAGAAGCCAGCAAGGCGGAGGAGAATTATTTCTGTGTTGCTTTCATCATCATCCAGTGGCCCCTGCTTGGGGGAAAGCTCAAAGCAATGCATGTGGATGGCATGGTTTCCTACATTATGGACTGACTAGCTCACTGACAGCTCATCTTGCTCAAGGGCAGCGTATTGGATACACTGTGGCGCAGCACAGGGTTACTCTATTGTCAGCTTTTGGTTCAATTTCTAAACCTCTCTTTTAAAGATTGAACTTGGGGTCATGGCAGTGCAACAGGTTCTTTGATGACTTCTCTGCTGTGGGGTGTACATGTTAGGATAGGAAAAGGAGAATATTAAGGAGCCAAAAACCTAACATCTGCTACAGTCACAACCTTTTGCAGCTTGACATCAGCATGACAAAGGAGCTAGTGGATTTCAGCCAGTCACCATTCAGCGTGAGGAGTATGAAATGGCTGGTTTTAGTTAATCCAACAGGCTACCTAACAAGTTCTATTAATCATTTATACAGGCTAGAAATGACTAAAAGATTACCAGAGTAGAACAGGGGAGAAAAGATGAAGACTAGGCAGAGTTCCATCTTGGACTACATAGGGGTGCAACCAGTGTATGACACATGATGACCTTCCACATACTATAGCGTCCAAAAGACATTACAGTAATTCTAGTCCAAGTACCTCATGTCAGGCAGCCTAGAGTCATTTGAACTCTATTGCCCTACTCTGACAACCAAAGGTACTGAGCCACAACATATAAACATAAGAATTTTACTACATAATTACATAGCCACAGAAGTTTGTGTCTATTGAGTTGCTTGTGAATTATACTTACATCTGCAGCAGAAACATTTTTCTTCATATGCTTCCTTCTTCACATTTACGGATTACATTATTTTCATGTGCTTACTGTCACAAACTTTCAGCATTTCATTTTCTGTATTTATTACAATTTCATCCTCATTCAAACTAAATTTAAAAATATCTAATTTCCAGATACAGGTAGGTAAAAAGTTAAAAGTACAAAAGTACAAAAATTAAAAGCCACAGGGCGATCGTGGCTCAAGAGTTGGGCGTTCGTCTTGTAATCGGCAGTCCGATCGACAGTCTCGGTCGTTGTGTCCTTAGGCAAGACATTTCACCCGTTGCCTACTGGTGGTGGTCAGAGGGCCCGGTGGCGCCAGTGTCCAGCAGCCTCGCCTCTGCCAGTGCGCCCCAGGGCAGTTGTGGCTACAATGTAGCTTGCCATCACCAGTGTGTGAATGGGTGGATGATTGTGTATAGTGTAAAGCGCTTTGGGGTCCTTAGGACCAAGTAAAGCGCTATACAAATACACACTATTTACTGCGTAAACTTTGTAAATCCCAGAGGAAATGATGTAAATTAAGTCAATGTCAAGTCAATATGACAACCATAGTATATAATTTGCAATATTTTCATCCTCATCAAATCACTCATAATCCCATCCAAAGAGCATGAAGGCTCCCTTATAATTATGGAATTGACCACCCCTTTTAACATAGAAATGTTTCATCGCAGTCTGATAAAGATGAGCTCTTAAAGCTTGTAGGCAGTGGTTTCTCCAGCAAAGTGGCGTGCTTCACAGGTAAGTAAAAGAGCCATTGGAGTTGAAACATGAGTGACTTGCTTGCTTTTATTTATCTTTTCAGAACAGACCAATTTTTGGCAGAGATAATGAAATTCTAAATTGTCTACTTAAGTATGATTCACAAGTGACTCTCACATAAGAAAAAGATCCATATTAATTATTTTTAATTGTTAACAATGTGTGAAAGTTTAAAAACTATTGATCCAAACAATGTCAGAAAACAAAGCTACTGGATTAATGTGTTTCTCTACATATGTCACCAATCTATAAAATCTAATAAATACATATCATTTATTTTTACATATTGGTGTGTATTTATGTATGTATTCATGTGGGTAGGCAAATGTACCGTACCCTATCTGTCATTCTTTCACAGGGATTCTGAATTTCTAACACCGCACCTGCTTTATTCTGAAACAAAATGAACAGCAAGCCAGCAACACTCAAACAAAATAATCTCACAGTGCAGAGTGGGGAGATGAGAAAAATAAAATATCATAAAATGCAACATTGACACATAGTTAAATCATATGCTGGAGTGCTATAATAGAACACAGATTCAAATATACAAGTGTTAAATCTGATAAGAACACTGTTAACCACTCAAAGTTCTTAAAAGATGAAAACAACACATAGCTTTTCACAAAGAGTATGAATAAAATGAAAATAAGTCATAATTGCATTTGTATTTGTATCACATGAGCAAATCAATAGTAGGGTACGCAACCCCTCCTAATTTTCAATTTGAGCACCTCAGCTCTGTGCATCCTCAACAAGACATTAACCAGTAAGATCAATAACATTCAAGGGCAATGAGCAGAATGGGCTAAACACCGAGTTAGGCATGCTATAACTTATCTTCTGCATGTGCACCTTTAAAACAAACAAGATCTAGTGCGTTCTTATATAGGTTATGGTGACCTTTAGTAACTCATGTAGTACCGGGCTTGATTAGCTGTTCGGACCAAGACATAGAAGCTATAAAGACGGAATGAGTTCCCGTGCTGCACAAGAGGAAATCATATTAGTGATGTGACAATGAAATATAATCCGAGACTTACTTTAAGACGGCGCTGTCTCCCTGTCTGACGGTGATGTTGTCTTTTAATACAGAATCCCCGCTTCTAGCTGGAACTCCTGCAGGTACAAGGAATAACAATTTAAGTCCGATGACGACAAGGCATTTCCCAGACACCGCCAGATAACCACAAATTCCCATGTTTTTATATCACTGCGCAACTTCCAAGGGAACTTGAATGTCTGATATTCCCCTTTGCGTTTTGAGCTAGGGACCGCAAAATTCCACTCCACAAACAAGACGCAGTATAGCCTGCTGGAACTGCGCTCGACCTGCTTTTGCTTCAAACGAAAAGCCTCGTTATGAAATCCCGTAACCGTGTCTTTGCGTCCGCCAGCCGCTCTAGGAAAATGACTTCGGAGGAGAGAGAAAAGCACCGTGTTTCTCAAAGAAATGCGCACCGTCTCCTCAGGTTCGAACTGTAATCGCCGTGAAATGGATGCTCTTGCACAGATGCATCAGCCAAGACTCCCTATATATTTTTTCCTCCTCTCCCTCGGTGTTTTCTTTCCTTGGTGCTGCACGGGGGACAATATTTAAAGCTGCAAATACTCAAACAAAAGGCTGAATTCGCTCTAATATCTTCTCTCTTGTTTAGCTCCTGGAGTACTCTCTCTCTCTTTCTCTCTAATCGCCAGGTAGCATCACTTGCATGTATTATGTGGAGCATATGGTCTGCAGCCTGCAGGGCTCGCATATTCATACAGTTAATAGACAAACGGATTCAGGAACCACCGTGCATCTTTCAGGGGCGTATATAGAGGACACTTTTATTTGGTCAGATGAAAATAATTATTTCTTAGGGGACTGATTACCACAGGAAGGAAACAGGCATTTAAAATGATATTACAATCTTAACTTTCATTGGTATAAGATGGGACAGGCAACAAAAAAAACAAAAACGAAATTGGTCAATTTCACAGTCATTTCATTCAAACTGTTCCCATCAGAGTACGATTTATGATTACTTCGGAGCTTCACATTTGCCCCTCCTCCCACGGTAAGAAGTGCTTGAGGCATGATTTTTGTTGACGTAGGGTTTGATGATTCAAGTGACCAAGTGTTCTCAAATGAGATTACTGTTTCTCTGTTTTTTCGGGTCAAGGACAACTTCAAATGAATAGAATGGTGCTGTAAGAAAAAAAATTATCATCCTCAAAAATGTTATTCTTAATATGAATTCCATCAAATGGGTCCTGTATTTCACAATTACCCCCCCCCCCCCCCCCCAAAAAAAGGAACCAACAAAAAACAACAACTTGGATTGTTGGATACTTCTGATTTTCCATTAAAACAGTAATCACGTGACTATGTGCTCTGATAAATAGCCAGTCACCAGTTAAACCCTGTGAAATAGAGTCAGTTGATCAGAATGTCTTTCACCTTTATATTTCATACGAGAATTTATGAAATGCTGACAATTCATTCATTCAAAGTCTTACTTCAAAGTCTAGAACCATCAAAATTGACATTTTAAAATGTCATACTGACCTCTACCTGTAATGATTTACACTGATGTCTTTAATTAAAAGAAGCATCAATAACTTGTAGATTTTTACAAAAATCCAGTAGTGAATCATTTTAAATTAATGTTAACCACTTTTAAAGGCTGCAGGGCGTTTCTTTAATGTAAAATATATAAAGATCTTAGTTCAACAGTTTAAAATGTTGAAATAAAAAATCTATCAACAGAATATGAAGAATTAACAGCTATAATATGCTAAAGACTTCTATGCATGAGTTCTGGATAAATATCCCCCAAGGTAGCATGCCAAGCAGTTGGTGCTCTCCCATATCAACATATAATACCTCTTTGTACTTAAGATGGAATAGCAAATTGATTAATTAATTAATGTCCAGTCTAACCACAATACAACTTCACAGAATAAAAATGTATTACTGTCAAGAAACATATTTTTAATATACACACATCCTGTCAAACATGTTGAAGAACAAGCAGTTAAAGAATGAAACAAAGAAAACAATGAATGAGGCATTTGGCAAGTGGCCACTGGATTCCATACCAATTGGAGATTGATGTTAAAGGCTGAGTCAAATTGGGCTAAGACTATGATAGCAATAAATAGGATCAAGACAAGCCACTGTGTGTTATGTTATGGTCAGTATTTTAAGAATATTCTGTATAGTGCACTTTTAGAGGAAAGTGTTAACATTAATGAGAAGCTGAACTTCACTGAGCCACATTGGCTTTGTTTACTAATGTGCTCTTGCTCTTTTCTCCGCTCCCCATCTGTATGCATGGAGGGGTTGCAGGCCACTAGGGATGAAAGTGGCACTTTGCTGTGTACCTAACAGAAGCTCTCACGATTACTATGACAGCTTTTGAGTCTCATAAGAAGATTGAACAAGATAATTTCTTTACCTCAACATCAATTTGGGATGCTGTTAAGATATTGGATAGAAGGCAACAAATGACAATGCACTGATAGCACTGAGTGTCATCACTCAAGATACAAGTAACACATGATGTTGTTCCTGTCTAGTATCAAATGCTTGCGCAAGTGTGAAAGCAGCAATGGGTTCTTCTGTTCATCAGACTTTTCACACACACAGCCTACTTGACAATACAAATATTCCTACAATATTGTCTATTGCCCAAAAGACAATCATGTAGCATAAAGCAATGCTTTTTGAAGACTTTATTAACCAATTTTATGATTGAGAACAAAAACTTCAGCACAATGTCATTAACCATGAAATATATAGTCCACAATGTCCTGTATATCCCATTTGTTACCATTTCTAGGCGATAGGTAAATGCTGTTTCAGTTTCCAGAATTTTCCACCCCAACACAAATTACTGCTGAGTTCACAAGTCAGTACCTTTTGTTACGTTCATTTTATTTAAAGTTGTTATTTAGAATTTATGACGATGTCTTGTGCCAGAGAAATTGGGTAAAGATAAGACTTAATTAAAATGATAGTTGCTTTTGATGCCACACAAGTCCTGACTATGCGCACAACTTAATGGTTTTTAAATTAAAACCCCTCCCTGACCTCAGCAAAATGTGGTCTTAATTAGAGTCAAGAGTACAGGGTGGTTGTAAGCTCAAGCACTTGTTCACAGATACTTCTTTGTTTGATTAGAGCTTCATTTGGTCACATGGCATTGCTCTAACACCATTGTGGCTTCTGTTTCCACACTGCTTTGCACAGCAAGGATACAGCGGGTTTAATAAGAAAACAGAAGCGATGAGGAGTGGCTGCTATGTGCAGTCAGCTATCAGCTTGTTGGAGTACTGTTCTGGGAATATAAGACTGCAATCCATTTCAATCCGTGTCATGTGTATTATCCTTTTGCCCCTCATTGTGCTGCCTTACAGCAGGTCAGGTGAATCCGATGACCTTGCCAAATCTCCACCACAAGTGAGAGAGCCAAGCATGCAGAAATGACAAATTATAATGGCATTGTTTGTTGGATATCCCACATGAATCATTCTTGGTGTATCACACAAACATAGAGGGAGAACAGAAGATAAAAAGAATGCTCAGTTGTGTGGCCTTGAAAAACTGTGCATGCACTAAAACAGGAAGTGGACATATTGATTTTAACAGGCTGCCTTTGTCCTTCATTCAACATCTTTTACAACCGGCTTTAGCCATATTGAATTCAACTCTTGCATTGTGTTTCATTTAGTTTACTTATACATGCAGTGACATCATATAATTTCCTGCTGCAACGTATTAACACCAGACCCTGGGTGGTTCATTCAGACTATCCATACTAATCTTCATTCATATCATGCAAGGATGGGCAGAGCGAGCAGACAATGGACGGGCCTCATACCAAAGCTAGTTAATACCCATGCAAAAACATGGAGAGACTGAATAAAGAGCATCCATTCAATGGATTCAGTCATCTGCAGTAGTTTAGATCCTTCTGGCACACAGTTGTAACATTGCACAACATATCCTTGAAAGAGTGACATTCTGTGGTTGGTCCAGCAAAATTTTGGGAAACAGTTTGAAATGTAGTTGTGTGTGGTAGTATCCATAATCTTTTACAGCCTTTCTAAACATCAAGTCCCAGTAAACAAGAATTTTAGAATACATTTTAACATTATTTATGATTACTTTTGTTTCACATCTGAGCCTTATGAACCAGAACGCAGCTTTCTGATCAGTTCTAAGAGAATAAAAAAATGCAGTGGAATTCTGTACAAAAACAATGTCTTGACTTTTAGTACTCTATTTTAGAGGTAATAATTTGAACTTGCCTTCCCTTACATTTGTGTTTCATTTGGGCTTTTCTGTACTTTTCAATAACTATACATACTATGTATATGTTCATTTCAGAAGACAAAGGTGGCTTTTAAATCACTATTAAGTCTGCCATTACTTTTATGAATTTGCTTCATTTTTCACTGTAGGGCATCATTGTTACTGGTAAAATCTGGTTTGCTTTGTAATGTAATTGGCTGAAATGGAGGGCTTACTGGGTTTTCTCTTTGAAGGTAGACATTCCTTCTGCTGTTTTCTCTTCTCTTTATTTTTTTAATTAAATTGCTTCTTGTTTCAGGTTTGCTTTAAACTGTGTAGAAGCTTAAGTTCTCCTGGCATGCAGCGCTACACATGATTTCAACTTTGATCTCAGATAACTACATCTGCCACAGTCTTGACTAATCAGACAGCTAGAATCAGATATGTTTGCTGCAGTCACAGCATGCAAAACAAAAGGCAGTTTGTCTGTAGCCAGACTTTAAAATTTAAGGCTGCTGCTTTCTTTGCTCTCACAAAGTGTTTTGTTTTTTTTACTCTGATCTGATCCAGGTCCTCCAAGTTTTTTACCTGATAATGCTACGTGATGTCTTGCAAAGTCAGTTGGTGTAGACAAGAGATAAGGACTGAATTATTAAAGATGCTGGTACCTTTAACAGATCTAAATGCCCAGACATTCTGTGTTATCAATAGGTGCAATATTGTGTGTGCTCCGAACATGCATGTTCAGTAAGTATGCTGATACATTATCTAGGCTTCCTCTGACCTCTGATGGCATTATTGTGAGGATGGCTGAATTAAAAATATGAGTTCAAATACGCTGCCCTGACATGAAACATTTTTACTTAACAGAGGGTTCAGTTAAAAAAAACAACAAAAAAAAACCAAAAAGAACAAAAACATTTTCTTTTTCATTCCAGTCTATCAATATTCCAACAATTTTAGCATCTTCTGACTACAAGTAATGGACACAAAAGCTGCTTTAAGGTCAAAGCCAAATCCCCCTGTATACAGCTTTCGTGAGAACCTTGAAAATATGAATGGTATCAACAAGGACTCAGTGTGCATTACTGTGTTTTTTTTCACTCTAGTCCTTGCATGTTTATTCTTTGAAAATACAAGTGAATGCATTTGATCCCTTCAATATTTTCTTTTCAGTTATTTCAGTGGCACTAAATAGGAGGCAAATGCTTATGCAACACACCTTATTTGGAGTAAACCACATCTAGGATCTATGCCATGTAAATGATGGCTTTGAGATGGCGTTTCAACAGTTACCTTAGGGGAAAAGCCTAATAAGGTTTTGGAGCGTGCTAGGACAAAGAGATAAGACTAATGGAGAGCAAAATGATCTGGCAGTATTTAGTTATGCTTACAGCACAGAAGCTTTCAGAAACAGCTT